ATGCTAACACCTTAATAAAACTAAAGTTTTGGTTCAGGGTCTGCTCCAGAATGAAACTTTTTTTTTTAAATATTTTTTTGGGCTGAAACTTCACCCTGTTTGCCTAAACTCCACCTTCTCCGCAGATTAAAATGGACTCCCAGATGACGAAGCAGGCGCTAAATGAGATTGAGACCAGGCACACGGAGATCATTAAGCTGGAAAACAGCATTCGTGAGCTGCATGACATGTTCGTGGACATGGCCATGCTAGTGGAGAGCCAGGTAAGCACGTGCCACCACCGGGATCGGTGTGCGACTGCTTTGGCCTGGTACCTTCACGGTATGTCTTGGTTTGTCCACAGGGGGAAATGATCGACAGAATTGAATACAATGTGGAACACTCTGTCGACTACGTGGAGCGAGCTGTTTCTGACACCAAGAAGGCTGTGAAATATCAGAGCCAGGCTCGCAAGGTCAGTGCACGCGGAGAATGACCGCGGAACGGCTAAGAAGTTAGCCAAAAAAATGTTTCTAAGCGTTATCAATTGCAAAATTAAAAAAAATGTAAAAACCTGACCTTAACATAAACCAAATCTAATCAAAACTAAAATTAAGAGTGGGACTCAGGCTGTTTTTACCACTAGGTGGCGCCCACACTGACGTCTCTCACTTCTCTGTTTCTCACCCTGCAGAAGAAGATCATGATCATCATCTGCTGTGTCATCCTGGGAGTGGTCCTGGCATCGACCATTGGTGGCACACTGGGATTCTAAGAGGCTCCACCCCCTGCCGCCGTGATGACTGACAACCACCACATGACTGACCGACCTACTACGCGAATGACCGACGGACGCCAGCAGAGAAAATACACACCAACAACGACAAAAAAACAAGAAAAAACTTGAAACACAAATGCAAGACAAAAAACATTTAGCAAAGAAGCTAAGCTAGGCTAGGCTATGCTAAAAGTCCAGCCACAGATACATGGAAACGTGACGGGGTCGGGTGGGGTTCAAAAGTAAAAAAAAAAATCTTCAAATCGTAGACGACTAAAAGACATCCAAATTACGGCGAGGATGAGCCAACAGTACCATACATTTCTGATGTTAGCTAATGCTACCAGATAGCACCTCACGACGTGGCTTTACTTTTGTGTTTAGTTGTTTTGAGTTCTTTTTGTTTAGTTTTGTTTTTGAGGGCAGTGACACAGCGTGGTCGGTCGAGGGTGATATTCCAGAAACCAACGTTCGTGTCTGTTGCTACCACAACCTTAAGTTTCTTCACTGACGAGTGTAAACAAAGTAGCTACTCCAAACTGGTCTGTACCCATGTGTTCACCAGCCAGTAAAAACAATACAAACTTCTCACTGCGCAGCTTTTACCACAGGAAGTGTCCATGTTCCGCCTCCTCTTCCCATCGTCCTTTAACGAATATCGAAATCATCCTAAAATTGAACCTCAAGTCCATGTAACAAATGTGCGGAGCGTTCTTAGTTCAACCAGCTTTTCTTTTGGACGTCCGATATCTTGACTGAGTCAGGAATTTTCACCAATTATTTAATTAGAAATCATCGATTAAAGGCAGGTCCTATCAGGTTCCAGAACCGATCCAGTACTGCCCGCAACAGACACGCTCAACATTCCTCGATCCGATGTTCGCCTTGTTTGTAACTGATTCCGAAACATCCTTTGCTCTGAAACACTGTGCCAAAGATTCTCGGACAGAGGCTTCACCTCCTCCATCTTCTTTTTATTTCACGTACTCAAGCGGAAGAATAAAACCGGTTGACACCAAAACTAGCGTTTAAACTCGTAACAAAAAGTTGCCGGCAGTGCGATCTGCATGTTGTCAAATCTCTACGTCAAAAAGTTGCCGGCAATGCGATCTGCATGTTGTCAAATCTCTACTGTCAATTTTGACACCAATCCATTAAAGTTCACAGGGGGCGCCCAGTGACACTGCAGTCAATTAGGAGCGGGCAACAGTACAACAGTAGTCCAAATATTTTGTCAAATCAGACGATGACTCAAAGCTCCGCACACAGCAGTGAAACACAGTTGTTTTCCTTGAAACAAGTCTTGGCTAGTTTGGTCCAGACTCAGCAAGGTTTGGGTCAGATGAAAACAATCCTGTGGCTCGAAAGTCAAAATCAGCTATGCTGTAAACAGATGCTAGCCTAACGTAGTGTCATTAGCCGAAGATTTTAGCCATACCAGGATGAATGCTAGCTGCTTCTGAGCACTGTTCCTTACGCAAAGTGTATAACACCTTTACAAGTTTGTTTTTGCATCTGAGATACGATTTTAATGCTCCAAAAGGCTAGAGTCGTATCAACAGAGTAATGTTAGCGTAATGTTAAAAAAGAAAAGTTTCCATCTATCGTCAGATATCTTCGTGAAACCTCGGCACTTCCAGGATCGTCCACATGGACTTGGAAGTCGTGGTTTCTACATCGAAAAAAGAAATAATGAGTGCACTAGCAGTATAATTCGTAAATATATTCGCTCCGTCCACTCATGCATAGTTTCAAAAAACGTCATGACTTTTTTTCTCTGCTGTCGTGTCGTCAGCGTCTATGACCTCATCATGTCTTTAACGATACCTTGTCAGATGTTGTGACCTACAGAATACAAACTTTACGTCAAGAATCGATACAAACCTGAAGGTTCTGCCTTACTTACGGCTGCTCTTAGATACAGACACTTTTGTCTCTCGTCTTTCATCACTATATGGTTAACGTTCTGGAAGGTTGTTGATCGTTAAAGCAATGCTTCGGTCATGTTTTCCTTTTTTTCGGTGTTCGTGGTTTAGCGGCGGCAGCAATTGCGTTGACATGGTCGTCGTAGCACCAGCCAGCTCGTGAAAACACTGACCTTCCTTTGCCGCATGAGTGTGTGTTTTCTGTTTTACGCTGTGGTGGATAGCGTCCATCTGGCCCCGCCCCTTTCCCGCACTCCTCCCTCCTCTGGCAACAGAAAACTCGGACAATCTAGGTACGATCTTGAAAACGTTCCAGGTGACTCTGAAGAAGTTTGTCCGAGTGTTCAGTTCAGATCCTTTTGTCTTCCCTTGACCTTTTGTTCCGTCGTTGTTTGAAAAAAAAAATGATGATGATGGCATTCAGGATGTGGAGTTTGACCCCGCCCATTCCTGTTGTGTGTAATGTTAGCGTAATGTTAAAAAAGAAAAGTTTCCATCTATCGTCAGATATCTTCGTGAAACCTCGGCACTTCCAGGATCGTCCACATGGACTTGGAAGTCGTGGTTTCTACATCGAAAAAAGAAATAATGAGTGCACTAGCAGTATAATTCGTAAATATATTCGCTCCGTCCACTCATGCATAGTTTCAAAAAACGTCATGACTTTTTTTCTCTGCTGTCGTGTCGTCAGCGTCTATGACCTCATCATGTCTTTAACGATACCTTGTCAGATGTTGTGACCTACAGAATACAAACTTTACGTCAAGAATCGATACAAACCTGAAGGTTCTGCCTTACTTACGGCTGCTCTTAGATACAGACACTTTTGTCTCTCGTCTTTCATCACTATATGGTTAACGTTCTGGAAGGTTGTTGATCGTTAAAGCAATGCTTCGGTCATGTTTTCCTTTTTTTCGGTGTTCGTGGTTTAGCGGCGGCAGCAATTGCGTTGACATGGTCGTCGTAGCACCAGCCAGCTCGTGAAAACACTGACCTTCCTTTGCCGCATGAGTGTGTGTTTTCTGTTTTACGCTGTGGTGGATAGCGTCCATCTGGCCCCGCCCCTTTCCCGCACTCCTCCCTCCTCTGGCAACAGAAAACTCGGACAATCTAGGTACGATCTTGAAAACGTTCCAGGTGACTCTGAAGAAGTTTGTCCGAGTGTTCAGTTCAGATCCTTTTGTCTTCCCTTGACCTTTTGTTCCGTCGTTGTTTGAAAAAAAAAATGATGATGATGGCATTCAGGATGTGGAGTTTGACCCCGCCCATTCCTGTTGTGTGTAATACCAATAACAATAATAATAATATTTTAAAGTGGCATGCAGAGCGTTGTGGAGTTTGCATGATGTGTTTTTGTAACCTCAATCTGACGTCACCCTCCACATCGTCTTGCACTTTAGATCTCATCGGAGCCATCGTTGGTTTATCCCATCTCCAAATTCCTCTTCTTTTTTTTTTTTTTACATATCCCGATGTTGATGTTGTATAGTGTCCGACAAACACTTTTATGTTTTTCTTTTACGTTTCAAACGCTAAGATCATTTTAGCTCCTTGTTGTTAGCTGCTTGTTGCTTTGCAGATTAAGGCTCAGCGTCCAGTGTTCAATGTGTGACATTCAACGGCCGATGGAAAGCCAACATGGGCGGTTGGATGTGACAGAGCCGACACGGGCGTCGGTTGTCTTAATGCCAAAGTGGGCCATTCGTCATCCGTTCAGACCAGGTTATGGCATCCGTCCTTCTGGCTGTGGACTGGCATTAGCGCATTAGCATCCACCTGGCCCTTTTCAGTAAATTTGACAACTCACTTTTTTAATAGAAAAATTGAATTGTGGAATTGTGGAAATATTAGCGACGCCACCATCACTGTTGTCATTTATAAGTAACGAACCAAAGCAGTTTTGTTTTTGTTTTTTTTGCACCTCCCCCTCCGTTGTCAAATGTTTGCCACTGAAAATTAAGAGCACAACGCAAGTCGAGTTTACAAAGTTTTGTTAAAATCAAACAAGAAAAAAAAAAAGAAAAAAATTATAACGTAACTACAAAGCGCCGTAGCACCTTCTCCTGTCCACAGCCACTGATGTATCACACACAAAAACCAGTCCAGCACTCCCGCTTTAAAGATGTTGGATTTTTTTTCTTTTTCTTTTTGAAGTTAGAAAATCAGGCGATGTAAGCGCTCTACGTCTTCTGTTGTCGTAACTGTTTGGTGTTAACGCTCGTCTTCATCAGACACCAACTGACCCACGAACCCGTTTCTCCACATTTGGGCTTTGAGCTGCAGGAGCTCGCTACACTCCACAAACAAAGATGGCTGCCAAGGATATTAGTCCACAGAACGAGTTGACAAACCTAGCATCACAACATGTTGCTCCGCAACAGAGCTCGGTCTCTCGTTAGCCAGCAGACGTTTCTGCTGTTTAATGTTATTTTTTTTAATGCAATTCTTCTTTTGTTATTTTTGATTTCCGATGAAGCTAGCAAAGTTGTTTTGACGTCCTTATTGGGCAACATTGCGTTAATACTCACTAATCAGTATTACAGTTTTATTCCAGTTATCCTAAAAAATTGGACTAAGAAGAAAAAAAAAGTTGCTGTCAATCATTGTGACATTCATATATATATATATTTTTTCTGTTAGTTGCAGCAGATGTGCAGGTTAAACTGCAGCTTTTCATCTACACTCACAGTTTTAGACACAAATGATATGAACAATCTCACAAACTGCATTTTCCTAAATGTGTCAGCAGGTGGCAGCAAGATTAACATTCTAGTCGTAGCAGTGCACGCATGGCAGAAAAAAACAACAAAAAACTTCGGGAATGAGTTTTTCTGTGACAGCGAGTTTTAAAACACCGATCTGGCCACAGTTGCAGTTGTTTTCAGAACAACGATATATCGTTTTTTTTTTTTTTTTTAATATCTGACTCAACTAACTCCAGATTTCTCAATTCGCTGTTTGACAGTTTAACTCTTTACTTATTTATTTATTTTCGTGTCTTCCTGAAAAAAAAAACATTAGCAAAGAAACCAAAAGCTGCCGGCGGTTCTGCTCTGTATCGTGCGCTGCCACCGCTGCACGGTTTCCCCGGTCTTCTCCTGACGAAGACTCACTCGATGTTACGTCACACGCATCGCACGAGACAGTATTGGGTCTGAATCAGTGTTTTAGCCTTGAGGGAGAGGACAGGGGGAGGGGCCAATGTGGCAAACCACGCCCATACAGTGACATTTTGTGATGACGATGATGATTATTATTATTATTATTGTTATTATTACCATAAAAGAAGAAGAAATGCAGTAAAACTTCGGTAGGGAAGGCGCGGCTTCACGCGGATGTGAACAAACAGGAAGTGAGGTGGTTGAGCAGAGTGTTACGTTATCGTTTATAATAGTAGTAATATTGAATATTGAATGCTCGCAAATTTTTGTCAAACTGAAACTGGAATAACTTTGTGTTCTGTAATTATTGTAAATAAGTTCAAAGAGAGAAAAATGCATGTCTATGTATAAATCTAAGCAGATATTTATTCCCGACAAAGTTTTTCCCACACTTACGTCTCTTTTCTCCTCCGATATTAGCTCCACCCAGCGTTGTCTCTATTGTTGTCTGTGGTCCTGGGGGAGAGAGGGAGAGAGACAGAGAGAGAGAGAGAGAGATGTTACACCCACCTTTGACAGGTTGTCACAAATACGACAACCCGTCAGACGTGATGTCACGAGTTGTTTTACAGTGATTTTTTAATTTAATTTTTTTTGTGGTGTAAATGCAGCACCAACCTCACATCTGTCAATCATTTCAGTTCCAGAGGCTCCGCCCACTGGGTCCTCTGATGAAAGTGCTTCCCTCCATATTTAGGAAAATTCAGGCTAAACCAGAGGTTCTGATTGCCCGCACTCTCTCTCTCTCTCTCTCTCTCTGTTTATACTGTTTGTTCCGGTGTCTCTCAACCACGACTCGCTAACCAGCCAATCAGGTCAAACTGAAACTCGGTCTCTTTTCACGTTTGCTTCTCCCCAGAGTTCACGTAAAAAAACGCCAAAAAAACTAGAAGGAAAACCTCGAACAGAATCCCAACAAGCTAATTTGGTCTAACAAACTGAAAGTGTTTTGTTAAAGACACAATTCATTTAACATTTCTAACAACCAACTACCATTTCCCCCGCTCTAAGGAAAAGAAAAGAAAAAAAAAACCTAAGGAAAGGGGGCGGAGTCAGCCGGTTTCCCGCCTCACACAGGCCTATCACAGCGAAGTGTGCAATATTCTGAGGAACAAGGGCTTTTCCTTCAAATGAGGCGGGGGCCCCCCCCCCCCCCCCCCCCCCCGTGACCTTGCCGGCGAGCTCCGCCCCCTTGTGCAAGAGCCAAGCTAACGATGCTTCCTACGATACGCGCAAAGGAACCAATCACCACTGACTCTGGGGGAGAACACGGCAGACAAAGACACGAGTGAATAAAAACAAAACGTGTAAAAGTTCGGAGGACAGAGACTTTAATGACTGCGGAGCAACTTTTCCGGGAAATGCAACTTGTGTCCCGTTATTTTTTATTTTTTTGTGTGCGTGTATGTGTGCGTAGTGTAATGTAAAAGCGACCTGTCGCCCCGCCCCCCTCCCCTATTCAGGACACGCCCCTCCCCTTCTCTCGTACTGCTGTTGGCTGTTCTGTTTAGTTCATGTGATGTGCCAGTATTCCCCGCCCCTTTTATCCAACAACCCCGCCCTCACCCCGCCCCCCCCTCCACGGATCTTTAAAGATGACAACTCTATGCAGATGCTGTCTTTTATAAGTGTCAGAAAATTTTAATTTCAAATAAAAGTTGAAAAAAAAAAAGACGACGGACAAACTGAAATGATACATAAAAATGAATAAAGAAAAGGATTGTTAAGTGTATCCTGAGTCGGAGCTTCCTTTGATCTTTGTCTTTATCTTTCTATCAAGTCATTTTGATCGATCACTTTCTTATCACTTATCAATTTGATCACTTTTATGGATCGCACCAATTAATCTCTCCACCCACTGATTGGCTTTAATCAGTCACTGATTTGACCCACGCTTTAATTATTTAATGTCTGATATTCTGTGTATTAAAAACACCAGCAGTGTTTGTAAAAATCAACCAGCAGCTGGTACTGTACCATGACAAAAAAAAAAATTCAATGTTTCTATAAAATCTCTGGTTCCCGTGTTCAACTTTAATAAAAGTTTCTGGCTCCGTCCATAAGCGTCTAATACAGCGTCTAATACAGCACCGTTACTGTGGTCAACTGTGCGGAGGAAAGATTACGTAGAGTTCATACAGAGGCACCGTACGTAGCTCTCTTCCTCTGGCCTGCAGGTGGCGCTGTGGCTCTTAAGCCCCTGCATGTTTTCATTGTTTTGCGAAACAAGTTTAATGGTCGCATGGAAGGACACGTTGGTGGTTACATGGAAAGATGGATGGATGGACGGATGGATGGATGGATGGATGGACGGATGGACGGATGGATGGATGGATGGGGAAAAAAGTGAACATTGTTTCAGTGGAAGCTCTGCAAAGCCAACAGGTTAAAAACAAAAAATTGTCAGACTAAAACTAAATCTTAGATGTTGTAGTTGTTGTTGTAGTTATTTTTCACGTGAAGCGACGACTGCTGTCGGAATAAAACAACAACAACAAAAAATAAAAATAGTTCTCCTCATTTTTCCTAACTATTTATTTTTCCGTACTCAGCCTGTAGGTTATAGAATATGGACAAGATTTTCTGTTAAGAAATGAATTATCAAAACATTGTTTATAAAAGTGTAGAATAGTCAGTTGTACATAAACAAAAGGGTGAAGCAGAGACAGTGTTTAGAGACACAGAGTCCATGAAAGAAAAAGGGGTTCAAATCAAAACAAACATCGACAAACGAGGAGAGGAAAAGTTTACACACCCCTTCTTTTTTTTCCAACAACAAACACCAGTCAGGTCTTTTTTTTTTATATACATTAACATCCAGAACAAAGGCAAGTCTTTGACCCGGACAAAAATATTCAACTCAAACTACAGGGTTGCATAAGTCGACACAACCTGAGTTGAAATGACTGCACATCCAGCAACTCTGGACAACCTCAGCTGAGTTTCCTCCTCACTGGATCGGATTTATCAAAGGGATAAAAGGCTCAGGAGAGAAGGCTGCAGAGCAGTTTCCAACACAGTGAAGACGAGACAGTGGAGACAAGACGGACGAACCGTGACATCACAGAAGGACACATTTTTAATTCATCAGAAGAAAAAAAAAAAAAACAAAAAACGAAGCTCTTTCTAAATCAGATTAAACTTGACACATATTCTCCACCAGGTCTCAGACGAGGAGGTGAGAAAACCCCCAGCAGGGACACTGAGGCCTGCTGGTGGCATCAGCAAATTTTTTTGGGGGCTGTTTCTTGTTTCTCCGTAGCTGTGACTGGTGCTCTAGTTGAGATTCTGGGGCACGGGGGGGGGGCAGGGCGGGAGCCAATACTGTCTTGAACGGAGGGTGTGAACAGTTTGTTTTATTTAGTTTGTTTGTTTTTTTTTTTTACTGAAACTCCAGCTGACAACCAGACAGAGCATGAACACCGGAATCAAATGATGCGGCTAAGGCAGAGGAACAACAACAGATATGAAATTTTTTTTTAGAACCTGTCAGTCAGAAATCCAGAGGTGAAATGTGAGCAGAACCGAGCCTCTTCACAGAAGAACGTAACGACAGCGCTGTGTAGACCTATGCAACCACACGACGTCAGCTTTCTCTTTTTCTTTCACGTCACAGTCGAACATCCGTGACGTGAATGAACAGATCGGATCACAGTGTCAACATCCAACCAGGTACGTGATGAGGGCAGGTGTGTAGACTTTTTCTACCCACCGTCCTCTCTGTCACATGACCTCTCACAGCACATGAACAGTCACTGCACAGCTTTCAACTTTTTTTTTTTTTTAAACTAGCACCAAGTCTTTAAAAAAAATGACACTTTTTTTCTTTTTAAACACACGCCCTCTACTGCCTTCTAGTGGAAATAAAAGCACTTAACTTAAAAAAAAAAAGGGAAAAATTAAAACACCAATAAATACAAGAGGTTACCAGAGGTGTTGAGAGTAAAAAACACATAAAAAAAAAAAACAACAACAACAAGAAAAGGACAAGTGGCATCTGGTCCAATCTCCACGTTTGACTGAGTGAACCAGGAAGCCTGGGCGGGTGGAGATAAATATGACAGAGAGGGATAATGGCGAGGGGAGGGGGGGGGGGGGGGGGAGGGGGGGGAGTTCACTGTCACAACAGCACTGGTTAAAGGCCAAATAAAAAAACAATTCAAATCATGAGAATTAATGTTCCAGTTTCAGAGTTCAGAGTTTGAGTCCGTGCCGCGGCGGCTCCATCGTCTCCACGTTAGTGAGTACACAGGGGTTGGGATACATCGAAGCTCTAAACTCAAACATCGTTCTACAGACTAGTGCCGTCCATTACACGAGTTAATTATAATAATAATAATAATAATAATAATAATAATAATAATAATGACACATAGGAGAAGGTGAGTATATAAATAAATGCAGTACTACAACGGTCACTCCTCTGTTTTCCTTCTTTCGGTAAGAAAGAAGTCGTGAATGTCACAATCCAACAGGACAATACAAGACAAACACCTGCACAGCCCCTCGGCATGATGGGAGATCTGGAAATGTAACGCTGCCGTTCTGTAACACACACACACACACACACAGAGAGACTTCATAAACTGAGGAAGAGTCAGGGACTTTGTCAGGTAGATGAACAGGAAGTGCTGACCTGCGCTCACTGGTGACACAAGTTTGAACAAACGTAAGACAGCAGCTCATTTCCCCGAGCCTTGAACAGGCATCGGTACCGGCTTTAAAGTGATCTTAAGGACTGACTGAGTGCCCCCCCCATCTCTCCCCCCTCTCTCCAAACCTCAACTTTACTGTTGGATTCTTCTCACTGGAACTTTTAGATGACAAAGTCCTCGGAGAAAACCTGCAATCCGTTGTTCACATTACCACATTTACAGTTACGCAAACTGACCACAGGAGGCAGCACACCTAAGCCTATTCCACGCCTACTTCTTAAATGTGACAACACCTTACCACGAACAAGAATCATTAGAGCCAGAGCCCGTGGGAAAACGTATGAGTAATTGTCAAATTGAGACAAAACCGTCCAGTGTCCAGTTCCTTTCCCTCTGACCAAGTGTCCTGCTCATCCGTTCCTGAATCGCAGTAATCCATCTCAGCCGCAGCTGATGAAGTCGTATGTGTAAAGGAGGCACAAAAAAAGGCGCTTTGAGACACCCACACACAAAACGTCAATGTCAGTGAGGTCCAAACATCTCCACCTACCAGCACATCCCGCAGACACACTGTGACTCAGAACAGAGAGGGTCGTCAGGGAAACCGCTGCTCCCAGGTATCCAGACCCAAAACCTCTGTTCAATGTTCCAGAGCTGCTGAGTGTAGCATCAAGTCTCTCTGTGTCCCCGGGTTACACCTGTCTGTCTGTCTGTCTGTCTGTCTGTCCATCAGTCAGTGCACGTGTCTGTACCGTCTGTATCACCTGTCCCTCGGACGCACGATGACGATTCAGAGAAAAAGGACGCTGTTTGAGCAGGAGCTACATTTTGGCAACTCTCACAAAACTTGGCTAGAGACTGGACATTCACCACCTGCCAAATAACAACCACACCACTGTCCCAGTTTATATGAATGGGCCACCGGGCATGCCCAGGAAGTTGGCTGCACCTATGGCAACAGGAGGGGGCGGTGTTGAGCCGCTCCAATGCACCTTCATGTGGTGCCTGAGGTTAGACTTGGAGGAGAAGCGCTTGTCACAGTGCTGGCAGGAGAAGGGTTTCTCCTTGGTGTGGATACGACGGTGGCAGATGAGTTGCGTGGACACACGGAAGGACTTGCCACAGTCTGGACACTGGTAACGTTTGGGCTCGGTGTGGATCCGCCGATGGTTCTTCAGAGACATCAGGTTGGGGAACTCTTTCTGGCAGGAGTTGCAGAAGTAGGTCCCAGTCTTGTGGCTGTTCTTGTGGTTGAGGAGGGAGCTAGCGTGGCGGTAAGAGCGCCCACACTGGTCACAGACGTGAGCCTTCACAACCTCAGTATTCCCCCCACGACCTCTGGCTTTGGTGACACCGCTTGTGTTGAATCCTTGCTCTTGCATCAAGGTGAGATCCAGGCCTGAGCCCCAGCCAAGGCCGTGGGAGCCGCCCGGTCGAGGCTGTTGGGTTCTGGCCTGGCGGGGCTGTGGCGTCTGCCCGTGGCTGATCTCCATGTGGAGCCTAAAACTTGCCTGTGTGGGAAAGGCCCGCTGGCAGGACCGACAGGTCAGCTCCCGCTGCTTCTGGTGGACTCGTCTGTGGTTGTGGAGTTGTGAGGAAACGCGGAAGGCTTTGCCACAGTCGTGGCAGCGGTAGCGCCGCATCTCTGAGTGAATACGACGGTGGTTCTTGAGGGCAAGGAGGTTGGAGTAGGTCTTTAGGCACACTGCGCAGTGGTAGATGCCAACAGTGTGGGTGTTCTTGTGATTTAGCAGGGAGCTAGCATGCCGATAGGAGCGGCCACACTGATCACATCTGTGCAGAAGAGAAAAGGATTTGAGGAAAAGAGAGAAGGAACAGGAGAATACAGATTAGCAACTGATGAAATTAGCTTAATATTCCTGCAAAGTTAATCCTAAATTACTGGTTACCACTTTTACAAAATGACTCATCCAAGATGAGGTACATACAGGTATATGATCTGAAATCCGGCTCTGAGCTTTTAAAGAAGACAAAGTGGTGTACCATCAAATGAACAGACAACTCAGAGGGGAAGGAGAGCTGAAGAGGGGAGGGAGGAAGGTTGTTTATGTGGAGCTAGGAGGCAATTGCTGCTTTCTGCACTGCACAGGATCTGAAAACATTTGTTTACGCCAGTGAACATCAAAGTCGTGTTCAGATAACGAAAAAACAATCAACAGTAACCAATGAACCATGGCTGGTGGGCAGGAATCCTCACACAAGAACAAAACCGCTGGACATGTGCAGTGCAGCTAGCCTCAAAAACTCTGGAGCAGTGCCTGTGTTTTCAGTTCACCAGCTCAAACAGCTACAGGTTCTCCACTAACAATTGGTCTCCCTGTGCTACAGGTTCTCCACTAACAATTGGTCACAAGCATATGAAAGAATTAAATCAAAGACTGCAGTTAACATCTAAACAGGAGCAAGGAAGACACAACATGAATACTTAAAATATCTGCAGATTTGCTAAGCACACTAGAAATTTGTGACAAAGAAAAACAGCATGAAAACAGTACATCTGAACATGAAATGCTTGACTGAAGGTAACCTACAAAAGTAAAAACGTAAATGTGTAGCATATGCTAACTGAAAGCAAACGGGGTTGACTTATCTGGTATCTCCACTAATTCAATTTGTCCAAACTTCAGAAAAATCCGAATTCCGGCAAGCGTATGGTCCCAAGGAAGCCGGATTGGAGATCATATACCTGTAATAGACATGTAGAGACCTAATTTTATCTTCACTAATTTTTTTCAACGAAGAATCACAAACAACTGACGAGAACTCACGTGTACCGACACTCTTCGCCCTCTCCTGCGGGTGCCGTGGCCTTCCTCCTGACCTCCATGCCTACCTGGTTGTCCCCGCAGCGATGCCGTGCCAGACCGGATCTTCCCTGGAAGCTCTTTCCACAAGTGGGGCAGCCGAAGGGGGTGGCTCCCTCCTCGTGGACCTTCTGATGATTACGGAGGAACCTGGCCAGTCGGAAAGCTTTCCCGCACGTGAGGCAGATGTGCTTCTTCCGCTGAGTGTGGATTCGCATGTGGTTGCGTAGTGCCATGTAGTTGGTGTATGGCTTGTCGCAGAAGTTGCAACGGAAATTGCCAGTCTTGTGCGTGTGCTTGTGGTTAAGCAAGGAGCTGGCATGTTTGTAGGCACAACTACACAGGTCGCAAGCATATGGTCTCTCATCAGAGTCCAAGTCCACCGTGCTTCTCTCCAAGCTGATGTTGGTGGAGCTACTGGTAGAAGAAGACGAGGGAAGATGCTGCGCCGGACAGTCGTGAGCCGCTAGCTCATCCGCTGTGGAAAACCCCTCGCAACAGCCGTCACACTCAAAGTCCATTTGGGCCCCGGGGCCCTGGGGCCCTTTACAAAGGCCCGCTGTAGTGTGAGTAGCTAGCTGCCTCTGAGTGCGAAATCCCTTGCCGCACTCTTGGCAGTTGTGCTTTTTTTGAGCAAAATGGAGACGCAGGTGATTTTTCATGGCCAGTCTATTTGGGTACGTGGAGTTGCAGACGTTGCAGTGATACTCTCCGATCTTGTGAAGGTTCTTGTGATTGGCCAGGCTGCCAGCATGTCTGTAGGTCTTCCCACACTCATCGCAGGCAAACGGCCTCCGCCCACTTTCTGCAGGGTCAAATTTTTGCGGCCTGGAGGTTCCAGCTGAGGAGTAGGGCTTTTTGAAACCTTGATGGCTGTACTTAACACCCATCACTTGGCTTTTGGACGACTCTCCTCTCATGGTCTGCATCTGAGAGGGGCCGGGCTGTGGGAAGCGGGAACCATTTGGGCCAGTTCTAACGAGGCCTTTGGCACGATGCTCCTCATGGAGCCGAAGATGGTTAATCAGCTGCTTTTGGATCTTGAAGGCCTTTCCACATTCTTCACACTTGTGCCTGTGGAAGGAATGGGCAAAGATGAAGACAGTACAAGGATATTTAAAAAAAAAAAAAATTAAAATCAAATACTGAACCATGGGCTGTCTTTTTTGTTTAAAAAAAAATTTTTTTAAAGATATTTTGGCGGGGGCTAGGCTGTCTAGTTTAAAAAAAAAGTTTAAAAAAGAATTTTGGCGGGGGCTGGTATGGGTTGATTAGAATGTATTTATTGTCATATTTTGCATGTTTAAAAAATAAAAAAAATGTTAAACTGACTTACCTTTATGTAGCCAAGTATTGAATATTAATTAACAAAATATTTATTATATGACATTTTTATACAGAACAGATGTAGCAGGAGGTAGAGCGGCCTAGTGGTAGTATTCCCCTCTACTCTGCATCGTCTTTACAGTTCAACTCCATCAAGTTTAATCAGACTACAGCTGTGGACATTTTTATACAGTATAGATATAGCAGGAGCTACAGGTGGTAGTATTCCCCTCTACTGTGCATCGTCTTTACAGTTCAACTCCATCAAGTTTAATCAGACTACAGCTGTGGTGACCTACAATAAGGAGACTCTGCTCCATCTGTCCATCAGTTTTGGGGAAAAAAAAAAGAAAAAAGAACTTGCTGTGTTTGAATGTTTCCAGCTTTGTCATAGTCAGAAAAAATGTCTAGAGGGAGTTCAGTTTAGATTAAAATGTTTCCAGTGGCTTTGAACAGAACCAAAAACAAAGCTTTAGTGAAGCACAGTGATTACTCTCTCACTCACACACACACACACACACACACACACAATAAAGCCTTCAGAGCACAGCAATGACAGTGTGGATGTGTGTGTTCAGACGGTGTCTCTATGTGGTCTGTAAATCCTCCTCAAGTAAATTATTTATTCTTTACCCAGTATCAGAAAAATGTACCGTCTTCTTCCTGTATGTCAGTGTAGAATTAGCATATGATTTTAATTCAGTGATCAGATAAGTGACACAATTTGCAAAAAGTTTGCAAACAGCTCTGTCAATTTACACAGCAACGTGAGGTTCGTGGTCTCGTCCTTTAAGTTCATCCTCATACCTGACTGTGTGAGTGCTATCACTGGTCCATTGACAGAAACATCTGAACGTCAACACACTGATTTCTGATCACTAAGCCGAGACAAATGTCAACCTTTACATATATTATAGAAACAGACACACTGACAGACTGGAGCTCCTGGATTAGACAAAACACCTCAAATTTGTAGAAATTAAAAAAAAAAAAAAAAGAATAATTATCCTTAATAAACCTTGATGAGAGGCTAACAACTGTAGCACATATTGTGTAGCCTTGTTAAAAAAACCTACATATTTACCTGCTAAACTTCAGCAGCAACATTAAACAAAACAAATTTCTGCACTTCACCTTTATCTTTACTCAAATCGTCAGTGAAAGTCTCTGGGTTTAAATGACAGAATCCCAGAATTCACTGCTCTTTTCTCCTTGCTATGATTTGTTATCCTATCACTGTCCTAAACTTTCAGACGTGAAACACAAAGACATTTCCAAATCCATTTCAACAGTTAAACGTCCAACACGTTTTCGGACATCTGTCCAAAAAACACACAGTTAGAGCTCGAGTCAGTGACATACCTCTTCAGGTCAAAGTGGGTCCTTTGGTGGTTCTTCAGAGCCAAGAGGTTGTAGTAGCGTTTCTGGCACACCAGACAGCGGAACACACCTGTTTTATGGGACTTCTTGTGGTT